AGCGATCTTTTAAAAAAAAAAATCTTATTTTTGTCTCATTTATTAGTTTAATATGACACAAGTGTGCATAGGAAAAACAGTGGTTAAGATTTATAATTAAAATATTAATTGATATTCTTTTTTGAGAAAGCATTACTTATAAGCATGATTAAAGATCTGTTTTTCCATGGTGCACAAAAGATATTAGGTGTCGAAATTTCCTTTTCGCAATTAGTTTTTACCAATTATAGAAGACGTTAGTTTGACATAGAACTGTAACGAAACTACGACGTGACAATCTAAGTATTCCTTTACATTTCATTTATCCTTATGTTACTTTCGTTCAAGCAAACGCTCGGCTGCCTCTGTAATCCCCTCTTGCGAAATGTCGGCGTTGACAGGGACAGCCGCCATTTTGGACCCGATTCAGATTTTTGAATGCTAATATCTAGAGTTTAGATTTATCAACATTCAAACAAATTATATAGTAAGCATTATAAGGAGGACTTCTATAAACATACCAAAAATAAATGAAAAATACTGAAAAACAAAAAAGTTTGAAAATACAATTTTTTTAAATTTGCATCTCGTAACAACTGGAAGTACTGACGACGCACGAGAAGGTGATTCCGCAAAACACAAAGTGACAAACTATCGTCTCCAATAAGTCTCCAGGTCTTATCTTTAGCCATTTTCGAGAAAAAGGGGCGACAAAATTGCATTTTAAAATCAGGAAATTGTCCATAACTTGGCACCAGAAGCGAATTTTTCAAATTTCTCTTCGGATGTAACAACTTCATATAATGACACATATTTTGTGAAAGTTTCATGAAAAACCGCTGAATAGTTTTCGAGAAATCGCCTGTACAAAATTTTGTCAAAAAAAAGAATAATAATAAGAAGAATAATAATAAGAAACAATGGAATCACTATAAGGTCTTCCGTGAAGACGGAAGACCTTAAATATATAGGAAAATTCTTTAAAAATCTTCTTCCCAAGAATGACAAAGCCATAATTCATCATATTTATATGGAAGCATGCTCAAGTAGTGTAGATTCAAATTTGTTCAAATTATGACCCCCAGGGGTAGGGCGGGGCCAAAATGGCCGACCAAAGTTTTTAAAGATATATATAGGAAAATTCTTTAAAAATCATTTTCTAAAAAATAGCAAATCCATGATTGGTCATGGGACTACTTTTGGATTTAAACTTTACAATAAAAAGCCATTTTCTTCTTTTTCCTACCCCTAGTGCTCAGGTGAGCGATGTGGCCCATGGGCCTCTTGTTTAAATATACATTCAATTTTAAGTTGTTCTTTACTGCCTAATGTAAATACAAGGATATTATTTTCAGGTTTTTGAATATTCAGGAATTATCTTGAAATTTTAAGAATACAGTTGCTGTTGCTTATTCTTCGTACATTTTTCAATCATTCCGTAAGCTGCACCCTATTAATTCTACATGGCGGGGCCCTTGCTGACTGGTCAGTTTTCTAGTTCATCATATTTATATGGAAACATGCTCAGGTAGTGTAGATTCAAGTTTGTTCAAAACATGACCCTCGGGGGTAGGGCGGGGCCAAAATGGCCGATCAAACTTTTACATAGAAATATATAGGAAAATTCTTTAAAAATCTTCTTCTCAAGAATGCCAAAGCCATAATTCATCATATTTATATGGAAACATGCTCAGGTAGTGTAGATTCAAGTTTTTTCAAATCATGACCCCCGGGGGTAGGGCGGGGCTAAAATGGCTGACCAAAGTTTTACATAGAAATATATAGGAGAATTCTTTAAAAATCTTCTTCACAAGAATGACAAAGCCATAATTCATCATATTTATATGAAAGCATGCTCAGGTAGTGTAGTTTCAAGTTTTTTCAAATCATGACCCCCTGGGGTAGGGCGGGGCCAAAATGGCTGACCAAAGTTTTTCATAGAAATATATAGGAAAATTCTTTAAAAATCTTCTTCTCAAGAATGACAAAACCATAATTCATCATATTTATATGGAAGCATGCTCAGGTAGTGTAGATTCAAGTTTGTTCAAAACATGACCCTCGGGGGTAGGGCGGGGCCAAAATGGCTGACCAAAGTTTTACATAGAAATATATAGGAAAATTCTTTAAAAATCTTCTTCACAAGAATGACAAAGCCATAATTCATCGTATTTATATGAAAGCATGCTCAGGTAGTGTAGTTTCAAGTTTGTTCAAATCATGACCCCCGGGGGTAGGGCGGGACCAAAATGGCCGACCAAAGTTTTACACAGAAATATATAGTAAAATTCTTTTAAAACCTTCTCAGGAATGACAAAGCCATAATTCATCATATTTATATGGAAGCATGCTCAGGTAGTGTAAATTCAAGTTTGTTCAAATCATGACCCCCGAGGGTAGGGCGGGGCCAAAAAGGCCGACCAAAGTTTTACATAGAAATATATAAGAAAATTCTTTAAAAATCTTCTTCTCAAGAATGCCAAAGCCATAATTCATCATATTTATATGGAAACATGCTCAGGTAGTGTAGATTCAAGTTTATTCAAATCATGACCCCCGGGGGTAGGGCGGGGCTAAAATGGCTGACCAAAGTTTTACATAGAAATATATGGGAAAATTCGTTAAAAATCTTCTCCTCAAGAATGACAAAGCCATAATTCTTCATATTTATATGGAAACATGCTCAGGTAGTGTAGATTCAAGTTTGTTCAAATCATGACCCTTAGGGGTAGGGCGGGGCCAAAATGGCCGACCAAAGTTTTACATAGAAGTATATAGAACAAGAGGCCCATGGGCCACATCGCTCACCTGAGAATCTTTTGTCATATTGTTCTTTACCAGATTTCCCTGTTATAATACATATTGTGGCCCCGCCCTACCACCGGGGGTCATGAATTGAACAATTTAGAATCTACACTACCCCAGGGTGCTTCCACATCAGTTTCAGCTTTTCTGGCCCAGTGGTTCTTGAGAAGATTTTCAAAGATTTTTCCTATATATTTCTATGTAAAACATTGATGCCCCATTGTGGCCCTGCCCTACCCCCGGGGGTCATGATTTGAACAATTTAGAATCTACACTACCCCAGGGTGCTTCCACATCAGTTTCAGCTTTTCTGGCAAGTGGTTCTTGAGAAGAAGATTTTCAAAGATTTTTCCAATATATTTCTATGTAAAACATTGATTCCCCATTGTGGCCCAGCCCTACCCCCGGGGGTCATGATTTGAACAATATAGAATCTACACTACCCCAGGGTGCTTCCACATCAGTTTCAGCTTTTCTGGCCCAGTGGTTCTTGAGAAGATTTTCAAAGATTTTTCCTATATATTTCTATGTAAAACTTTGATTCCCCATTATGGCCCCGCCCTACCTCCGGGGGTCATGATTTGAACAATTTAGAATCTACACTACCCCAGGGTGCTTCCACATCAGTTTCAGCTTTTCTGGCCCAGTGGTTCTTGAGAAGAAGATTTTCAAAGATTTTTCCTATATATTTCTATGTAAAACATTGATGCCCCATTGTGGCCCGCCCTATCCCCGGGGGGTCATGATTTGAACAATTTAGAATCTACACTACCCCAGGGTGCTTCCACATCAGTTTCAGCTTTTCTGGCTCAGTGGTTCTTGAGAAGAAGATTTTCAAAGATTTTTCCTATATATTTCTATGTAAAACATTGATGACCCATTGTGGCCCCGCCCTACCCCCGGGGGTCATGATTTGAACAATTTAGAATCTACACTATCCCAGGGTGCCTCCACATAAGTTTCAGCATTATTGGCCCAGTGGTTCTTGAGAAGATTTTTTAATGACCCCACCCTATTTTTGTCTTTTCTTGATTATCTCCCCTTGTGAGGGGACTTGGCCCTTCATTTTAACAATTTAAATTTCCCTTCACCCAAGGATGCTTTGTACCAAGTTTCGTCAAAATTGGCCCAGTGGTTCTTGAGAAGAAGTCAAAAATGTGAAAAGTTTACAGACGGACGGACAGACAGCTACACAGACGGACAGACGGACGGACGACGGACAAAATGTGATCGGAAAAGCTCACTTGAGCCTTCAGCTCAGGTGAGCTAAAAATTCGTTTAAAACCTTCTCAGGAATGACAAAGCCATAATTCGTCATATTTATATGGAAGCATGCTCAGGTAGTGTAGATTCAAGTTTGTTCAAATCATGACCCCCGGAGGTAGGGCGGGGCCAAAATGGCCGTCCAAAGTTTTACATAGAAATATATAGGAAAATTCTTTAAAAATCTTCTTCTCAAGAATGACAAAGCCATAATTCATCATATTTATATGGAAGCATGCTCAGATAGTATAGTTTCAAGTTTGTTCAAATCATGACCCGTAGGGGTAGGGCGGGGCCAAAATGGCCGACCAAAGTTTTACATAGAAGTATATAGAAAAATTCTTTTAAAACCTTCTCAGGAATGACAAAGCCATAATTCGTCATATTTATATGGAAGCATGCTCAGGTAGTGTAGATTCAAGTTTATTCAAATCATGACCCCGGGGGGTAGGGCGGGGCCAAAATGGCCGACCAAAGTTTTACATAGAAATATATAGGAAAATTCTTTAAAAATCTTCTTCTCAAGAATGACAAAGCCATAATTCATCATATTTATATGGAAGCATGCTCAGGTAATGTAGATTCAAGTTTGTTCAAATTATGACCCCTAGGGGTAGGGCGGGGCCAAAATGGCCGACCAAAGTTTTACATAGAAATATATAGGAAAAATCTTTAAAAATCATTTTCTAAGAAATAAAAAATCCATGATTGGTCATGGGACTTCTTTTGGATTTAAACTTTACAATAAAAACCATTTTCTACTTTTTCTTAGCCTTAGTGCTCAGGTGAGCGATGTTGCCCATGGGCCTCTTGTTAGTGCCCTTTTTTTATGCCCTGTCTTATACCTGTGAAGAAGTAACAGGTTCAGATAGGTTGTAAATGGAAAGTTTCTTTGAATTCGTATTTTGTCAGAATTTCAATTGCAGAATATATAAATATGAAATGAATTTCAGAAATGAGAATGTGAAATCCCTTGATGAGAGTTTTTGGGAGACCGCGTTTACTATACATGTACCAGAGGATTCTACCCTCCCCAGTGAAATCCACGAGTCCCAGCATACGGTCACAGAAAACAGCAAACGAAGCAGGGGAGGGAAATCTGTAGACAAGTCAACAGGTATTGTTATAGTCACAGAAAACAGTAAACCAAACAGGGGAGGGAAATCTGTAGACAAGTCAATAGGTATTGTTATAGTCACAGAAAACAGTAAACTAAACAGGGGAGGGAAATCTGTAGACAAGTCAACAGGTATCATCATATCTACTAGTCTATGTTCCATGCAAGAGTAAGCATTCATTTCAAATTTTTATGAACACTGATGAAAAAGACATTTATTACAAGCAATAACAAGATTTTTCAGTGGACAGTATGTCAATTTCTGATGTTTTGTAGGATCCTCCCATTGGGCCCCTGAGTTTTTGGAGCCTGTTATTTTAGAAGTTGTCCTGGCCGGCAAGTCCATGGAAATGATACAAGACCTGGGCAAGCTGGCTGATGTATGTGGAGGTATGTCGTGTAAATACAGCAAAACATAAGGCACTTAAGAAATGAATTTAATTTTGGAAGATTCACGAGGTGTTGAACTACGACGCTTCATGCTGGCATATTTCATGAAGCACGTTAACGCTTCATGATAAATGTGCTGGTGTGAAGTGGTGTAGTTCATATACCTCATGAATCTTCAAAAGATAAATTCATTTTTTATACCCCCTGCAAACGAAGTTTATGAGGGGTATATTGGAATCACCATGTCCATCTGTCTGAAGACGAGATTTTGTCCGGACCATTACTCAGAAACTATGGGAAGGATTTGTCTGAAAATTTGTACACATATTACTCACCATATTTTTTATTTAATTGACATGTTTTTGGCTCATGTATAAGGTTTTGGACATAGAATCTAGAATATCTGTACAAAAATGTGAACTACAGCTTAAAACTACTCATTAAAATTAAAAAAAAAAATCAAGTGTTAAAAACAGTTTTTACATTGCACAGAAGATAATGTAATTTCATTTGTCTCATGGGAATAATGACTGGACATGCATTCAGTTAAAGATAAATTAATGAGTTTGGATGCATTCAGTTAAAGATAAATTAATGAGTTTGGTGTAGGAAATTGTTGAGACATCTCTTATCAAGCATGTGTTATTATATCTCTTGGGAATTTGGCTGCTGGCAAAAGAATTAAAGATCTCTCTTCTCTAATTCTCTTAATTGTAATTCATTGTCTGTCAAAGCACTTCATTACTGGATGACCAGCTCTTTATTTTCAAAATGAATTTGATATAAAGTTATCAAGATTAATTTGATTTTGTATAATATAATTTTTTTTTCAACAATCAGTTTGCAGAGTGTCATGACATATAATTGCAATATATTTTTTTGATGCAGAAATTAAAAAAAAATGTTACAATGGAATAACAATGTATTAGTATTGATGTTTTATTTGGTTGCACCTTTGTTTCATTCATTAAGAAATATAATGAGCAATTATATTTTCACTGCAAATTTTTGTAAGAAAATTGTGAACACCTCTAGATCCATAAAGTATTTGTGAATTGGCACCTTCTCTGAAAAACCCAGCGGGGGGGATTTGTTCCTATTGGACAGTTCTAGTTCTGATAAGTTGCCACAAATTTACGCCATTCAACTCTCATTTTTAAGGCAAAACTGTTTGCACTATATTTTTGACGTCAACCGCGGTATTATGATGTAACGATGGAGTTATTCATGCTCATCCATTGTAGTTCATGAGAAGATGAACAATATTCTCATTTGCAAAGAATCTTAAGGAATCATACTTGGAAATGTAAATATACTTTTACATATACAGATGTACATGTATGTAGCACAAATTCAAGATTCCTACCACCCCTCTTTATCCAATGATTGTGCTGAATTTTTAATTTGTCAATGTATATACATGTACAGAATATTATCACAATCTAGAACATATGAATAACAAATATTTAATAACAAAACTATTTAATAAGTGCTTGTTTTCTAATTAACAGTAAAAAGAGAGAAGTCCCTGTACACTTTGTTTTTGGAATCTCTCCAAGACCTGTTAGGAACGCGGCCACATGATGATTTTGTAGAAGACCCCCCTCCAGACCTGAGCATGTATCCAGAACAAATCGACCGACAGATGAGAGTAAAGGGAATCCACGATCCACTGTTAAAGATTAACTACATGAACATCTTTCATGCCTGTAATGTCAGACTCCATGGTCCAATAGAGGAGGAAGATAAGGACAGTCAGTAAGTACTGGCGTCAAATGTGGGAAAATCAGTCGTTTAGTACTGGTTTAAAGTGTAGGAAAATCAGTCATTTAGTACTGGTTTAAAGTGTAGAAAATCAGTCATTTAGAGTACTGGTTTAAAGTGTAGGAAAATCAGTCATTTAGTACTGGTTTAAAGTGTAGGAAAATCAGTCATTTAGTACTGGTTTAAAGTGTAGGAAAATCAGTCTGAAATTAATGTTTCTCAAACTATACAGAAAAAAAACAATGCAGATTGTGGCAAACACTTCTGTGAAAAACATAATAATCTCAATAAAGAAAATTGTACAAAAGAAGCAGTGAAATTTTTAAATGTACTGGTATTTTAAAACAAAAGTTTTATATACCATGTAAAGATATGGACTTGACCTCTGTTTTAGGATGTTGAGTGTTTTGGAGACGGAGAGGTTACAACCCATTAACCTTGTCCTCAAGCAGTGCCTGTACCCCCACATCACCCAGAAGTACTCCAGGGTCTGTACTCAACTTGTCCAGATACTGAAGGAGGAGTACAATCTGATGGGTTACCTAGCAGCCATGAGGGTAAGTATCCAGTGTAGGGTCTCTACTTGTCCAGATCGCACAAAGTTAGCAGCAGCATCAGCATTTGTATTAAAATCAAGCTATGAAGAAAATATTCCTAAATTATGAAATATCAGCCATTGACAAAGGGTTTTGTATTTCAAAACTCAATCAATGAATTATTTGTATTTCTTTACAGCATTTCTTTTTAATGGAAGCTGGAGACACCATGTTTGATTTCTACTCACCCATATTTGACAAGGTATGGAAGACAAGCAATTTCTTATCTCTGAGTAAATTTTACATGATGATGTGGTATTAAGAAAATTGTCTTTTTCAGATCCGACTGAACACCCATTGGAGAGACATTTCCACTGTGAACCTAATCCTACAGGAAGCATTACAGGCACATTTCCCTGAGGAGTCCAGGCGGTATATAAATATGTGGAGGAATTTAAAATTGGCAAATGCTGTATATGTGACTTCTGAATTGAATACAACTTTAAACACAATGTTGCATCTTGTCCATCATTTCAGGTTGTATGTTAGTATTGAAGACTTACCCAAAGATAGACGTCCTATTAATATAACAGATTGCATCAAACTCCATTACAAGGTACTTCATTGTGAGAATTGAAACATGGGTGTTCAAAATAATTGTCTTGGTGATATGAATGTGAAAATGATGGACATGTGTAGAACATTCCGCATTGACTCTTACTATTCCTGTTCTATGAAGTTTATTTTTAAAATTAAGAAAGCAGGTGTTATGTCTTTGATGTGCTCCATTAAGAATGTTTATACAGGTTCCCTGGCCAGTAGATGTGGTCATCAGCTCCAAGTGTCAGGCCATTTACAACCAGATCTTCACCTTCCTCCTGCAGGTCAAAAGAGCCAAATACTGCCTCGACGAGTTACGATTCTGTGGTGTGTATAGTCCTATATTATAGAAATTTATGATTGATACACTATTTTTACATGTATTATATTTGCTTGCTTGATATAAAAGTATTTATTTTTTAGCTCACCTGAGCCGAATGCTCAAGTGAGTTTTTCTGATCAAAATTTGTCCGTCGTCTGTCGTTGTTGTTGTCGTAAACTTTTCACATTTTCATCTTCTTCTCAAGAACCACTGGGCCGATTTCAACCAAACTTGGCACAAAGTATCCTTGGGTGAAGGGGATTCAAGTTTGTTCAAATCATGACCCCCGGGGCAAGGGTGGGGCCAAAATGGCCAACCCAAGTTTTACATAGGAATATATAGGAAAAATTTTTAAAAAATCTTCTTCTCCAGAACCACTGGGCCAGGAAAGATGAAACTCATGTGGAATCATCCTCAGGTAGTGTAGATTCAAGTTTGTTCAAATCATGACCCCCGGGGCAAGGTGGGGCCAAAATGGCCAACCCAAGTTTTACATAGGAATATATAGGAAAAATCTTTAAAAAATCTTCTTCTCCAGAACCACTGGGCCAGGAAAGATGAAACTTATGTGGAATCATCCTCAGGTAGTGTAGATTCAAGTTTGTTCAAATCATGACCCCCGGGGCAAGGGTGGGGCCAAAATGGCCGACCCAAGTTTTACATAGGAATATATAGGAAATATCTTTAAAAATCCTTCTGAAGATCCACTGGGCCAGGAAAGATGAAACTCGTGGAATCATCCTCAGGTAGTGTAGATTCAAGTTTGTTCAAATCATGACCCGCGTGGCTAGGGTGGGGCCAAAATGGCCGACCCAAGTTTTACATAGGGATATATAGGGAAACCTTTTAAAATCTTCTTTTCAAGTACTTCAAAGCTATGATTAGTGATATTTATATGGAATCATCCTCAGGTAGTGTAGATTCTAGTTTGTTCAAATGATGAATGCCTGGAGGGGGGGAGTAAATTCAAGCCCGATGTGCTCAGGTGAGCGCTGTGGCCCGTGGGCCTTTTGTTTTGTACAGTCTGTGTATTTACAAGATGAATGCATGTATAACTTTTAATTATTGCACAAGTAATTAGTATGACAAATTGTTCCTGGCCTGATCATGAAGTTTTACAGCATTCTGACTATTCCAGAGAATTAGATTTTTGAAGTTAGTGACTTGTCAAGCCAAAGATTAGGTTTCTTGATTCCCTTTAATTTGTATCAGTGATAATTTCTCTCCGACATAGATTTGGAAAAAGACCCTGCCCTACACAGCCACTCTGGGACGGAGTTCTCACTTCACCTGGATGAGGACATGCCTAGGGAGGGGAGGATCCATAGAATGCACATACTGAGAATGAGGCTGACCTACTTTGTTAATAGTCTCCATAACTACATCATGACAAGGGTATTTTCTTACACTGAATAACAGGCATGAATTTTCCATTTCTGGATTAAATATTTTATAGAGAGTCTTTAATTTTAAGTTCATTGTCAACAACTCCATGTAAATTTTTACTTTTGCAGATTCTACACAGCACAGGCATTGAATTTAAACAAGACCTGGAGAAAGCTAAAGATCTGGATCAGATTATAGCTGTCCACAATAAATACGTTAATACAATACACGAGAGATGTCTGCTGCATAAAATGGTGAAGCTCCTCAAACAGGCTGTGATGAACGTTCTGAATCTCATTCTGAATTTCCAGGCTCTCTGGGATGAAGGCATTCAGGAAATAAGGTGAGGAAAGCAATCTTAGTAAATCAAGGTTGAGTTGGAGACTCACTTTTATGCAGAAATTTCTATTGGGCAAATGTGTGTTCTGGCTTGTCCATCAAACAAACAAAAAAAAAATTTGGAAGCAATACGTTTTGGTGCACAAGGTCAGATAAAAAAATCACGCAGTACATTCTGAAATATCTGTCATTAGGTTATGCACAAGTGGTAGCTTAGAAATATAGTGCTCACTTCATGATCACAAGGTTTTTCTGGCAGCCTGTCAAAGCCAAGAACTGTAAAGCCTGGGTAGTAACTGTTCCTTCAACAAGCACCTTGTATTAGAAGTAAAAGCCTCACAGATATAGTTTTAATGTCATGATATGTGTTGATGTGATTAAGAACCCTGAATTCTCAGTTTATGATTGAAGCCCTTCACCATTATTTAGTGATGTTTCATGAAAATGAAAATTTTTGAAAGTGATTAAAAAAACAATTAAGCTAGGAAGTATTTAAGATGCGTGTAAATATATTTTTCAGCTTGAAGACCATTGAAGGAATGGAAATAGAGTTTTCTAGGTGTATTCTGTTCCTTTCCACATTTCTTAACAATGTCATCAAAAGGGGATCTTTTCCACACTGTACGTATTTTACGTTATTCCATATTTGGCTGTGTAATATTTTATATGTGTAGAAATGTGCTACTGTTGCATATTAATGTGAAAAGTTTTAAGACAAATGAATTCTTAACATTTTTTACAAATACAAATAAAACCACATACTAAGATATTGAATTTCCTATTCTTTGGCATTGTTGTCCTAAGTGTAGAATTTTCTTTCTTTTGTAGTGGAATCTCTTGCATTTGCTTTAGTGACATCAACAGAACATTTAACAAAGGGACGAGCACACGTGACGTGATGTCTGAGAGTGACTGATCCTGTGTTTTAACAGCAATCTCTCCAGAGACTTTCAGGGATGATGTTCTCAGTTTTTTTTCATGTTTCAGAAATATCTGTGATATTTATAAAAATGAAATTTTTATACTTGATGAATAAATTAATTTGTTGAATCATTATGTCTCAATCCCTTATTGCAATTATATGACAGTTGTATTCTTACAAGACAAGTCCCAAGACAACAAAATGATGCCCTTCTCATAACCTTAGGTAAGGTCTAGGAGTACTACATGTTCTGTTTACAGATTTATTTTTGTAAGGCATGAGCTACTGCTATGTCCTGTTCAGATTTGCAAAACCACCTTGCATCCTGACATTAGACAGAGTTTTCGTTAACTAGCTTCCAGAGTTTCTTTAAGTCGAGACAAAAAATATTCTACTCCATCTCCATAATAAAATTTGAGAACCATGATGCATCTGAAACTGTAAATGGTATGAGATCTTACACCTACATATAATCTCTATCAATGTAATGGAGAAACATGGGAAAAATGTACTCGATAATTCATATGAGGTTATTGGTGAAGTTGAAAGTCACAGGTCATTATACTCCCCGCAAACGAAGTTTGGGGGGTATATAGGAATCACCTTGTCCGTCTGTCTGTCCGTCCGTCTGTTTGTGCAAACGTGTCCGGTCCATATCTTTCTTACGGAGGGACATTAGAATCTACTCCTCCACACAAAGATTGCCCATGACCTAAGGGTATGTCATGACCTTGACCCAAGGTCATTTGGGTCAAGGTCATGACGAAAGGAAAAAAAATTTCATAATTCATGTCCGGTCCATATCTTTCTTATGAATAAACTTGGTTGGTTCTCATTTCACACAAAGATTGCCCATGACCTAAGGTAGTGTCATGACCTTGACCCAAGGTCATTTGGGGAAGTTCAAGGTCACTGGAAGGAAAATTTCATAATTCATGTCCGGTCCATATCTTTCTTATGGATAAACTTGGTAGGTTCTCATTTTCGCACAAAGGTAGCCCATGACCTGAGGGTTTGTCATGACCTTGACCCAAGGTCATTTGGGGAAGTTCAAGGTCACTGGAAGAAAAATTTCATAATTCGTGTTTGGTCCATATCTTTCTTATGGATAAACTTGGTAGGTTCTCATTTCACACAAAGATTGCCCATGACCCAAGGGTGTGTCATGACCACCCAAGGTCATTTGGGGAAATTCAAGGTCACTGGAAGAAAAATTTCATAATTCATGTCTGGTCCATATCTTTCTTATGGAAAAATTTACTTCAGAAAAACGGGGGGTATTTTGTCCCATTTGGACAGTTCTAGTTAAATATGATATGACCTGCATTCTACCCTTGATACAGAACATGTCAAGTTTCTGCTTTTAAGTCATTCATTATTAAATAAAAACTTGATATCATGACAAAATAATTTTTATTAAACGGAAATTGAAGAACTACTGGAATCTTTTGCTGGGAATACTTCTAGCAATGAGAAAAATCTTGAATTACAACCTTACAACATCCACATTGCAGATATGTGAACTATCAAAAACACACATACATTAACAACAACTATTACTAATAAACCATTCAGTGTTCAGTTTTCTGCTTCTTGCCTTTGTTGAGGATGGCATCTATAGTGCGTTTGTACTGGTTAGAGAGAGTTGATGGTGGAGGGGTGGGTACACTAGGAATCTCCAGTACGGGCAGTAATCTGTTGCCAACACTCACACTTGTCGTGCCTCTCGACAACTTGAATGCACTCTGGTTGCTACTACATGGTGAAGCTTTAGAATTGTTAATGGTGTTTGTGGAAGACATTTGTAATTCATCATCGTCCTCCTTATTTACAGTCAGAACTGACACAGGTTTAGGAAGAGAAGTATCGGGGAGATATTCGTCTATGAGACTGGCCACCGAGTTGGAAGATTCCACCCTCTTGTTGCCAATAATCAGGGTTGTGGCTGGCAGACAACTCTCTGATCTTCTTTCCTTATAATTCTTATCTTCCGTGTCATCGTCGGAGTCATCAAACAGATCTTTGTCTCCATCATCACGTGAAACACTCTCCACAGAGGTCTGAGAAAACTAGAAGGACGTGAAAACAAATTAAAACTTTCAGATAACACCTGTAATGTTAGATTAACTGCAGGACAAAATTCATGTCTTACCTGTTGAACATTCTGCAGAGGACTTCCAAAGGAGACACTTTTTCTCTTATAATGATTCTCTTGTCCTACATCTATCATAAACACTTAATATTTATAATTCTTTTACATATGGTACATAGCTCCTTACAAATGGAAATAAAATATCAAGCAACATATTTTTCATCTAAATGAAAATTATGGATCGAACTAATTTAATGAAGAATTTACCTTTCAAAATGCCCTTCACATCTTTATTGTCACAATCTATAAGATATCAGATGAAATCATTACTACTGTATGTATCATATTTTGAATCATCAAAATGAAGTATTTTTATATGGATATTTCAGCAACTTGCCTGGTGTATTCTTTCCTTTGATAAACTTGAAGCTTTCAGCAGCCACTTTCATCCCTTCAGGATTTGGTGTCAATTTTAAGGATCTGTTGAGAAAGTAAAATGTTTTTATACATCAGATACAAACACCTAGATCAGATACATGAACTAGTTGTTTGATATCCGCATTTAGTCATAAAAGAAAACTTACGATTCGCTGGAGTGAGTCTCACACAAAGATGTTGGAATCCTCAGTTTTGACAAAGATAACTTCAGTCTGGATCCCCCTGGACTCCTTGGAGATGTTCCACCAACATTACTGGACTGTTCGTCATTTCCTCCAGTGTTACTCTGCTGATTTTCATTTTTGTTCCTGACACTCCCACATTCACTCTGGTCTGATTCGCTACCTTCTGTGTAAATCTGTCCATTATCTCTGGATATTTTGGTCTGTGTATCAATTCTTTTGTCAATACTTTCATAGTTTTTATTGTCAATATCTTTTTCTATTTTAGATATGTCTGTTGGGATCTCAATCATTACTTCTGATTTATTATTCTCTTCACTTCCATGCTTGCTTTTCAATTCTTCAGCATTTTTGGAAATTAATGTTATTTCTCTCTTTGCACATTCTATGACAGATTCTCTGCTACTAGTTATTGTTTTGCTGATATTTGAACTAGAAAACTGAAATGAATGTCTTTTGGCAACATTTTGGTGTTCCATAATACTTTCATGGATCTCCTTTTCAGTAGAAGTTTGGAGACTGTCGGGTTTGTTCTGCTTTACTAGATGAATAGCCTCTGAGTGAGATGAATCTACTGTCATGGACTGACTAGTATCTTCAGAGGCAAGTTGACTACCAATATTTTGGAGTTCACTCTCATCAGCTGGCAGAGATTGACTAGAGATGACTGGGAGAACCTGACTCTCTGGCTGACTGACTGATTGTAAATCTGTGTCCTGTACTGACTGACTAGACATTCCCGATACAATCTGTGTATTCGACTGACTGCAGTCAATAGAAACTACCTGTGTATTATACTGACTACAATCAGTATGGGCTAACTGCTCATCGGTTTGGCTTGCTAAGGACTGCTGACTGAGTATTTTAAGAGAACCGTTGGGAGAGGACATGGACTGGGAGAAGAGCCTCTCTTTGGAGTTGTACCTGATGATCTCGGCCTGGACTGCCACGCTGTGTACCTCCGCCTCGTCTGTCTGGGAGATGGAGTTGGCCAGGGCGGGGTTCCTGGTTTGTGTGGCTGATACTGTAGAGTCAGGGACCGGTGTCTGGGAACTCTCCGTCCTGTGCTGGGCTGTGTACGTCTGGACTGACACGTCTACACAGAACACCTCCGTCTGACTCTCCCGCTCCACCATGTCCAGCCAGCTCAGTGACGTCTGCTGAATCTGATCCTGTTTAGGTTTGTTCAGAAGTTCCTGTTTGTCATAAGAAAATATGTCTGAACCACAACTCACAAACATAACCGAGTATAGAAAAAAAAGCACAATATTAAGAATTCCAGCTATTACATACCTTGATGGACTGAAGTTGTTCTGTTAGTTGAATATTCTGATTCGCCCATGTTGTATTCAATTCCTCCAAATCAGAACATGTCTTCCTCTGATCTATCAACTCTTCACTGATTTTGTTCAGTTCATCTTGAAGTTGTGAATTCTACATATTAAATAAATAACACCTGCATTTTATTCGTCAAAGACTCTAGGTAATATTCATTAACATCAGTAATGCATGTAATTAAGACCAACCTTATGTCTCCATTCTCTAGCCTCTTCTTTGTGCTGCTCTGTTTGTGATCTATTTTTAGCCTTGACCTCCTGCAGCTCACCTTTGACCTCTGACAGTTCCTTCTGTAGTTGGTCAATAACCAGTGTTTGTTGGGAGGAGTTCTTTTTGTGTTGTTCAACATTTTCAATCTGACGCACCAGTAGTCTGTTGGTATCCTCCAAACTCTGGCTCAGCTTCTACAAAAGTCATCCAATATTTGTTAATTATGAATGTCATCCCCATCTACAGTGCTTTGCTTATTTTTAACTACAATTAACAAAAAGGGGGGAGGGGGTGGGAGGGGAAATGTAATACTTACATTCTTTTATAAATAGTGGAACTTGATTGTTTTTTCAAACATTTATGGATTACAGTTTAATTATGTCACCTATACTTGTACTAGCTAGGACTGAGATAAACAACAAAATAAGTGACATTTTAATATTAAAGGGTCAGGATTAGTTAACCTCTACCAATCTTAACAGGGAAAAAACCTATTCACATTTTAATTTTTAAATATGAAAATGCATAGATCATGTACTGGTATAAAACTGCAATTAACTGGTGGACTGTTACCTCATACTTTGCTTCATACTCTGTTATTTCTTCATTAGCTTTCTCTTTTTCTGTTGTAATCTATGTTTTGGAATAAATAGAAACTATATTAAAAGATTGATATGTAAAATACACATACTGTGCAAGTGCCTCATAACTAACACTGCTGCCTGTGATTACCTTTACCCTCTCTAGTCTCCGATTTAGTGATGTTATTTACCCTCTCTTATCTCTGATTTAGTGATGTTATTTACCCTCTCTTATCTCTGATTTAGTGATGTTATTTACCCTCTCTTATCTCTGATTTAGTGATGTTATTTACCCTCTCTAGTCTCTGATTTAGTGATGTTATTTACCCTCTCTAGTCTCTGATTTAGTGATGTTATTTACCCTCTCTTATCTCTGATTTAGTGATGTTATTTACCCTCTCTTATCTCTGATTTAGTGATGTTATTTACCCTCTCTTATCTCTGATTTAGTGATGTTATTTACCCTCTCTTATCTCTGTTTTAGTGATGTTATTTACCCTCTCTAGTCTCTGATTTAGTGATGTTATTTACCCTCTCTTATCTCTGATCTAGTGATGTTATTTACCCTCTCTTATCTCTGATTTAGTAATGTTATTTACCTCTCTAGTGTCTGATTTAGTGATGTTATTTACCCTCTCTTATCTCTGATTTAGTGATGTTATTTACCCTCTCTAGTCTCTGATTTAGTGATGTTATTTACCCTCTCTTATCTCTGATTTAGTGATGTTATTTACCCTCTCTAGTCTCTGATTTAGTGATGTTATTTACCCTCTCTTATCTCTGATTTAGTGATGTTATTTACCCTCTCTTATCTCTGTTTTAGTGATGTTATTTACCCTCTCTTTTCTCTGATTTAGTAATGTTATTTACCTCTCTAGTGTCTGATTTAGTGATGTTATTTACCCTCTCTTATCTCTGATTTAGTGATGTTATTTACCCTCTCTAGTCTCTGATTTAGTGATGTTATTTACCCTCTCTTATCTCTGATTTAGTGATGTTATTTACCCTCTCTTATCTCTGATTTAGTGATGTTATTTACCCTCTCTAGTCTCTGATTTAGAGATGTTATTTACCCTCTCTAGTCTCTGATTTAGAGATGTTATTTACCCTCTCTAGTCTCTGATTTAGTGATGTTATTTACCCTCTCTAGTCTCTGATTTAGTGATGTTATTTACCCTCTCTTATCTCTGATCTAGTGATGTTATTTACCCTCTCTTATCTCTGATTTAGTGATGTTATTTACCCTCTCTTATCTCTGATTTAGTGATGTTATTTACCCTCTCTAGTGTCTGATTTAGAGATGTTATTTACCCTCTCTAGTCTCTGATTTAGTGATGTTATTTACCCTCTCTAGTCTCTGATTTAGTGATGTTATTTACCCTCTCTAGTCTCTGATTTAGAGATGTTACTTACCCTCTCTTATCTCTGATTTAGTGATGTTATTTACCCTCTCTTATCTCGGATTTAGTGATGTTATTTACCCTCTCTAGTCTCTGATTTAGTGATGTTATTTACCCTCTCTTATCTCGGATTTAGTGATGTTATTTACCCTCTCTAATCTCTGATTTAGTGATTGAAATTTACCCTCTCTAGTCTCTGATTTAGAGATGTTATTTACCCTCTCTAATCTCTGATTTAGTGATGTTATTTACCTTCTCTAGTGTCTGATTTCGTGATGTTATTTACTCTCTCTTATCTCTGATTTAGTAATGTTATTTACCTCTCTAGTGTCTGATTTAGTGATGTTATTTACCCTCTCTAGTCTCTGATTTAGTGATGTTATTTACCCTCTCTTACCTCTGATTAAGTGATGTTATTTACCCTCTCTAGTCTCTGATTTAGAGATGTTATTTACACTCTCTAGTCTCTGATTTAGTGATGTTATTTACCCTCTCTAGTCTCCGATTTAGTGATGTTATTTACCCTCTCTAGTCTCTGATTTAGTGATGTTCTTTACCCTCTCTTATCTCTGATTTAGTGATGTTATTTACCCTCTCTAGTCTCTGATTTAGTGATGTTATTTACCCTCTCTAGTCTCTGATTTAGTGATGTTATTTACCCTCTCTTATCTCTGATTTAGTGATGTTATTTACCCTCTCTTATCTCTGATTTAGTGATGTTATTTACCCTCTCTTATCTCTGATTTAGTGATGTTATTTACCCTCTCTTATCTCTGATTTAGTGATGTTATTTACCCTCTCTTATCTCTGTTTTAGTGATGTTATTTACCCTCTCTTATCTCTGATTTAGTGATGTTATTTACCCTCTCTAGTCTCTGATTTAGAGATGTTATTTACCCTCTCTAGTCTCTGTTTTAGTGATGTTATTTACCCTCTCTAGTCTCTGATTTAGTGATGTTATTTACCCTCTCTTATCACTGATTTAGTGATGTTATTTACCCTCTCTTATCTCTGATTTAGTGATGTTATTTACCCTCTCTAGTCTCTGATTTAGAGATGTTATTTACCCTCTCTAGTCTCTGATTTAGAGATGTTATTTACCCTCTCTAGTCTCTGATTTAGTGATGTTATTTACCCTCTCTAGTCTCTGATTTAGTGATGTTATTTACCCTCTCTTATCTCTGATTTAGTGATGTTATTTACCCTCTCTTATCTCTGATTTAGTGATGTTATTTACCCTCTCTTATCTCTGATTTAGTGATGTTATTTACCCTCTCTAGTGTCTGATTTAGAGATGTTATTTACCCTCTCTAGTCTCTGATTTAGTGATGTTATTTACCCTCTCTTATCTCTGATTTAGTGATGTTATTTACCCTCTCTTATCTCTGATTTAGTGATGTTATTTACCCTCTCTTATCTCTGATTTAGTGATGTTATTTACCCTCTCTTATCTCTGTTTTAGTGATGTTATTTACCCTCTCTTATCTCTGATTTAGTAATGTTATTTACCTCTCTAGTGTCTGATTTAGTGATGTTATTTACCCTCTCTTATCTCTGATTTAGTGATGTTATTTACCCTCTCTAGTCTCTGATTTAGTGATGTTATTTACCCTCTCTTATCTCTGATTTAGTGATGTTATTTACCCTCTCTAGTCTCTGATTTAGTGATGTTATTTACCCTCTCTTATCTCTGATTTAGTGATGTTATTTACCCTCTCTTATCTCTGTTTTAGTGATGTTATTTACCCTCTCTTATCTCTGATTTAGTAATGTTATTTACCTCTCTAGTGTCTGATTTAGTGATGTTATTTACCCTCTCTTATCTCTGATTTAGTGATGTTATTTACCCTCTCTAGTCTCTGATTTAGTGATGTTATTTACCCTCTCTTATCTCTGATTTAGTGATGTTATTTACCCTCTCTTATCTCTGATTTAGTGATGTTATTTACCCTCTCTAGTCTCTGATTTAGAGATGTTATTTACCCTCTCTAGTCTCTGATTTAGAGATGTTATTTACCCTCTCTAGTCTCTGATTTAGTGATGTTATTTACCCTCTCTAGTCTCTGATTTAGTGATGTTATTTACCCTCTCTTATCTCTGATCTAGTGATGTTATTTACCCTCTCTTATCTCTGATTTAGTGATGTTATTTACCCTCTCTTATCTCTGATTTAGTGATGTTATTTACCCTCTCTAGTCTCTGATTTAGAGATGTTATTTACCCTCTCTAGTCTCTGATTTAGTGATGTTATTTACCCTCTCTAGTCTCTGATTTAGTGATGTTATTTACCCTCTCTAGTCTCTGATTTAGAGATGTTATTTACCCTCTCTTATCTCTGATTTAGTGATGTTATTTACCCTCTCTTATCTCGGATTTAGTGATGTTATTTACCCTCTCTAGTCTCTGATTTAGTGATGTTATTTACCCTCTCTTATCTCGGATTTAGTGATGTTATTTACCCTCTCTAGTCTCTGATTTAGTGATGTTATTTACCCTCTCTTATCTCGGATTTAGTGATGTTATTTACCCTCTCTAATCTCTGATTTAGTGATTGAAATTTACCCTCTCTAGTCTCTGATTTAGAGATGTTATTTACCCTCTCTAATCTCTGATTTAGTGATGTTATTTACCTTCTCTAGTGTCTGATTTCGTGATGTTATTTACTCTCTCTTATCTCTGATTTAGTAATGTTATTTACCTCTCTAGTGTCTGATTTAGTGATGTTATTTACCCTCTCTAGTCTCTGATTTAGTGATGTTATTTACCCTCTCTTACCTCTGATTAAGTGATGTTATTTACCCTCTCTAGTCTCTGATTTGGAGATGTTATTTACACTCTCTAGTCTCTGATTTAGTGATGTTATTTACCCTCTCTAGTCTCCGATTTAGTGATGTTATTTACCCTCTCTAGTCTCTGATTTAGTGATGTTCTTTACCCTCTCTTATCTCTGATTTAGTGATGTTATTTACCCTCTCTAGTCTCTGATTTAGTGATGTTATTTACCCTCTCTAGTCTCTGATTTAGTGATGTTATTTACCCTCTCTTATCTCTGATTTAGTGATGTTATTTACCCTCTCTTATCTCTGATTTAGTGATGTTATTTACCCTCTCTTATCTCTGATTTAGTGATGTTATTTACCCTCTCTTATCTCTGATTTAGTGATGTTATTTACCCTCTCTTATCTCTGTTTTAGTGATGTTATTTACCCTCTCTTATCTCTGATTTAGTGATGTTATTTACCCTCTCTAGTCTCTGATTTAGAGATGTTATTTACCCTCTCTAGTCTCTGTTTTAGTGATGTTATTTACCCTCTCTAGTCTCTGATTTAGTGATGTTATTTACCCTCTCTTATCTCTGATTTAGTGATGTTATTTACCCTCTCTTATCTCTGATTTAGTGATGTTATTTACCCTCTCTAGTCTCTGATTTAGAGATGTTATTTACCCTCTCTAGTCTCTGATTTAGAGATGTTATTTACCCTCTCTAGTCTCTGATTTAGTGATGTTATTTACCCTCTCTAGTCTCTGATTTAGTGATGTTATTTACCCTCTCTTATCTCTGATTTAGTGATGTTATTTACCCTCTCTTATCTCTGATTTAGTGATGTTATTTACCCTCTCTTATCTCTGATTTAGTGATGTTATTTACCCTCTCTAGTGTCTGATTTAGTGATGTTATTTACCCTCTCTAGTCTCTGATTTAGTGATGTTATTTACCCTCTCTAGTCTCTGATTTAGTGATGTTATTTACCCTCTCTAGTCTCTGATTTAGAGATGTTATTTACCCTCTCTTATCTCTGATTTAGTGATGTTATTTACCCTCTCTTATCTCGGATTTAGTGATGTTATTTACCCTCTCTAGTCTCTGATTTAGTGATGTTATTTACCCTCTCTTATCTCGGATTTAGTGATGTTATTTACCTTCTCTAGTGTCTGATTTCGTGATGTTATTTACTCTCTCTTATCTCTGATTTAGTAATGTTATTTACCTCTCTAGTGTCTGATTTAGTGATGTTATTTACCCTCTCTAGTCTCTGATTTAGTGATGTTATTTACCCTCTCTTACCTCTGATTTAGTGATGTTATTTACCCTCTCTAGTCTCCGATTTAGTGATGTTATTTACCCTCTCTAGTCTCTGATTTAGTGATGTTCTTTACCCTCTCTTATCTCTGATTTAGTGATGTTATTTACCCTCTCTAATCTCTGATTTAATGATTGAAATTTACCCTCTCTAGTCTCTGATTTAGAGATGTTATTTACCCTCTCTTATCTCTGATTTAGTGATGTTATTTACCTTCTCTAGTGTCTGATTTAGTGATGTTATTTACCCTCTCTAGTCTCTGATTTAGTGATGTTATTTACCCTCTCTTATCTCTGATTAAGTGATGTTATTTACACTCTCTAGTCTCTGATTTAGTGATGTTATTTACCCTCTCTAGTGTCGGAATAGTGATGTTATTTACCCTCTCTTATCTCTGATTTAGTGATGTTATTTACCCTCTCTAGTCTCTGATTTAGTGATATTATTTACCCTCTCTTATCTCTGATTTAGTGATGTTATTTACCCTCCCTAGTCTCTGATTTAGTGATGTTATTTACCCTCTCTAGTCTCTGATTTAGTGATGTTATTTACCCTCTCTAGTCTCTGATTTAGTGATGTTATTTACCCTCTCTAGTGTCTGATTTAGTGATGTTATTTACCCTCTCTAGTCTCTGATTAGTGATGTTATTTACCCTCTCTAATCTCTGATTTAGTGATGTTATTTACCCTCTCTAGTCTCTGATTAAGTGATGTTATTTACCCTCTCTAATCTCTGATTTAGTGATGTTATTTACCCTCTCTAGTGTCTGATTTAGTGATGTTATTTACCCTCTCTTATCTCTGATTTAGTGATGTTATTTACCTTCTCTAGTGTCTGATTTAGTGATGTTATTTACCCTCTCTAGTCTCTGATTTAGTGATGTTATTTACCCTCTCTAGTGTCGGAATAGTGATGTTATTTACCCTCTCTAGTCTCTGTTTTATTGATGTTATTTACCCTCTCTAGTCTCTGTTTTAGTGATGTTATTTACCCTCTCTAGTCTCTGATTTAGTGATGTTATTTACCCTCTCTAGTCTCTGATTTAGTGATGCTATTTACCCTCTCTAGTCTCTGATTTAGTGATGTTAATTACCCTCTCTAGTCTCTGATTTAGTGAGGTTATTTACCCTCTCTAGTCTCTGTTTTAGTGATGTTATTTACCCTCTCTGAATAGTGATGTTATTTACCCTCTCTATCTCTGATTTAGTGATGTTATTTACCCTCTCTCTTACTCTCTCAGTCTCTGATTTAGTGATGTTATTTACCCTCTCTTATCACTGATTTAGAGATGTTATTTACTCTCTCTAGTCTCTGATTTAGTGATGTTATTTACACTCTCTAATCTCCGATTTAGTGATGTTATTTACCCACTCTATTCTCTGGTTTAGTGATGTTATTTACCCTCTCTAGTCTCTGTTTTAGTGATGTTATTTACCCTCTCTAGTCTCTGATTTAGTGATGTTATTTACCCTCTCTTATCACTGATTTAGTGATGTTATTTACCCTCTCTTATCTCTGATTTAGTGATGTTAATTACCCTCTCTAGTCTTTGTTTTAGTGATGCTATTTCCTGTTGGTACTGCTGTAGACTTGTTTCTGTTGGTTTCTGCTGTAGAAGACTCTTGACTTCCAAGAGTTGGGCCTGCAGACTAAGGGAATGGTTCTTTTCCTCTTCAACAATACATTTCTGATGCTCATTTATATAACTTAAAGCCTGGTTGTGCTTTATTGCATGGTGAACTGAAAAGAAATGGAAAAAACATATCCTATAATATAGGTACAATAACAACCCTAACCTTTGCCAAAATCACTCCAATACACATATAGTAAATATAAGGCCTGTAAATTGAAAGGTTATCAGTTTATTACTTTAATAAAACAAGCATTTTGATGTAAGATTCGGGCTCGGGATCCGAACAGGTATTATGTTCAGCTAAACTGCTAAACCTTTTTTCAACTCCCATTGAAAGAGAAAGGATCCATCATCAGTAATATCAATTGAAGGTGGTTGAAGTAACCAATTGACATCGATATTATCCATATAAGCTATTAATTCTAATTTGTTTCACATACACGTGGCTTCTTAACTCGAATTTCCTCGACCGCAGTCATACATTATGTCGAATACAACGGAAGATTTCGAGTGTCTTAAAGACCTATCGACTGTTGACGTATCAATAACAAACCTTTACAATGAATACCCAGAGAATTGTATTCCTAACAAACTCCGCCCGCCCACGGGGTGCAAAGCAAGACAGGCGGCATACGAAGAAATTAACCCACACCTCTATGAAGAACAAGCCAAGATGGTAGCATTTCGAACAAAACGGGAACGTGTATTCGCCTGGATTAGAGCTCTACAAATTATATACTTAGAAAAGCTGAAAATGTGTAACTCTGTAGAAGTCAAATGGTATAACAATCCAGAAAAGTGGGATACTACCAACAGTACCCTAACAAACCATTCTATTTGCATAGACATTGGGGATGATACTAGTCTACACTACAAGATAACATTTTTTGTGTCAACCGGCACTATTCAGGTCCAGGGAAATGGAAAAGATGCATTCGTGACCAAAATCTTCCCACTGCTGAAAGAATTAGTGAATAGAATTACTGCGTCGACCGAAGGAGAGGAAACCACCCTTAAATCTGTAACTGAAAGTCCGCAAAGCCAGAACTCTGTGAGTTATTTGAACCAGGAACAATTGCTAAATGGTGAACATAGCCAAATTGTTTCAGCTTCTGTGCATGACCTGGATAGATTTCAAGAAAGTATGGTCCTAGCTTTAGAGGAAATGAGCAAATCTCACACTGGACTTATGAAAACCTTAGAAACAAGATTCTTAAAAGGTTTGGAATCACTTCAAAGTACAGTTAGTACTCTTTCTTTAGCCGTTGAAAACTTGAACAGCCAGTACAGTAAAATGTCAACAACACCAAATAAATCAAAAAGTCCTGAAAATGAAATTAGCTCAATAAAAAACAAGCTTAAGAAATCAGATGAAATCAAGAATGAACTTCAAGTTAAAATCGCAAATCAACAACTTGAATTAGAAACTAAAGAAGCCCAACTGAAGAATGAAAAAATCATGCACAATACATGCAAACACCAACTCCTTGGCTTGTTGGAAGCAAACAAATCAGAAAGCTCAACATTAGTGGAAAAACTAAAAACAAAAAATGAAGAGTTACTCAACATGGAAAATGAAAACAAAATCCTCAAAGAAAAAAACGAGGCACTTTTTAAGGAGATTCTTGGTTTGAAAATGCATGTTTCGAGTATGGAATCTAACAGTGAGAAATTTACATGTGTAGGAGAAAAGAAAGTTGAAGAAAATCACTCTTCACCACATGAGCCTCGTAAGGGATATAAGACTTCTCCCAAGACAAAACCCCCGAAACCCAAAGTCCTGTTAGTGGGGACATCTAACACTAAGAAGATTAATCCAGACATTCTTAGTTCATCATTCATAACAACAAAGAAACTTGCATACACAATTGATGAAACCAAGGATACCATAGTAAGATATGAGGATGCAGCACCAGATGTTGTCGTTCTTCATCACCTCACCAATGATGTAAAGGCAAAAAGTCCTGAGACTTGTGTTAACGAGACGGAAGAAATCATCAACATCATCACTCAAAAATGGTCAGCCAAAGTGGTTCTGTCACTATGTACTCCTCGTAAAGACGACGAATTACACAGTGCAAATAGTGCTCTAATCAACGCCCTACTAAAGAAGAAATACAAAAGTGACTCAGTCGTGTATATCAGTGAAAACATAAACATGTCTAATAGGCCTGCCAAGGTCCTTGAAAGGGACAATGTTCATCTTACACAAGATGGTGTTGCCATGTTAGCATCCAATATCAAAAGATCAATCCTTCTAGCTTTAGGAATCGAGCAGGCTCCATTGCAGATGGGAAAAGACCAAGACCCTGACTATCACCGTGCTTCACCAAATAAGTTGTACAAATACCAGCGAAAGTGGCGAAACTACCAGTACGCACCATCCGAACCATGGGAAGGGAGACCTTACCATCCTGCCAGCTATGGTTTTAACTACAATTACTAAATTTTCTTTTTTATCACCATATCAGATGTTACTTATCAATTACACTGATGATATATATAAACAATGCCATTCTTTTAACGGGTATTTCAATGTATGAATTTCATTCTCAAATATTGTACCACTTCCACTTATCGGTGCACCTGTACTCATTAATGTCATGTTTATTTGCAACTGATTTATTTATTTTTTTTTTTTTCTTCTCACATATTGTTACTACTAGATTTTACATTGTATTAGATGTTTTGAAGGATGTTGTACCTTTTCTCTTGATTTGGGTTTGAAAATTTGGTATTTTTTCTTAGAATGTATCAGATGTACAGAAAAACAAATGTTAAATGTGCTTTTTGGAATACACAATTTGTAGAAATATATCTAAAAATGGCAGATACTTTGGAGGGATATCAATATTAATTAAGCATGAGATTAAAGATCATGTTTCTGTAATTAAAAATACATGTAGTGAGTATCAATGGATCAAATTAGAAAAAACTTTTTTTAATTTTGATAAAGATTTGTATATATGTACTGTTTACAACCCCCCTGAGGGATCACCTGCAATAACACGAAATAATGTTAATATTCTGGAACTCGTACAGAAGGATACCCAAACGGAAAAGATTTTTAACAAACTACTATCAAACCATCAACAAACTACCAACAAACTATACTTTTGTGGTTTGTTAAAGTAGTTTGATAGTATAGCATTTAATGAACCACTAACAAACCACTTTTTCTAAAAATAGCTGCAGTGGTTTGTTAGTCTTTCATTTCTGGTGATTGTGATTTCTTTATAGTTTGTTAGACTTGGTATCTTGCAACAGTGTTTTATTAGTATAGCATTTGCATCTAACCACATGGGAAATTACTTTACAGATGTGTTTAGGGTTGAATTATCTAGAATTGTTGAAGTTTCCAAGAACAACTTATCTCTTTACATCCGGTGTTATAGCTATTTGCGCCAATTTTCAAACCACCAAGCAGGTCAGAAACAAAGGAACTGGTGAAGGGACATTCAAATTGTTATAGTATCATTCTATATGATCCCTGACTGGAAAAAGCAGTAATTAACATTATTAAAAGATGGATCTGGATACAGAAGAGGTATTTAATGCATGTCATGAAGTAATTAACCTTCTGTGAATGTGGATGCATATGCTTTTTACTAGCTTTGGATTTTTATTCATTTTCAGATTGACCTATAATTCCTATCCTAGTTTAGATCAGTTATGCATTGGATTATGGGAAGTATACTTGAAAATAAGACAATAAAGATGTCTTTCAAAGTTGCAATGAGGTCAGAAACAAGGAAAAATTGCAGCTTTTTCCATGCCAGAGGAAGCAGGGAAATATTTAAATGTCGATCATCAGCTTGAAGAACATTTTTGGTGAAAAATACTATGAAGATGTACACAACATGAAGGAGAATATGTGATAAGTACATGGGCATTGACTTGGAATTGCATCTCCTAAACAAAAGGAAACATGTTGGATGTTGCACTTGCATTGGCTAAACTTGTGAATCCTGGAATTTAAATACCCTGAAAGAAGACTTGTTGAATATTTGAAAATGTGATTGTTTTAGGTGTTTTCAATTAAGACTTGTGGATTTGTAAAGGAAAATTCAAATCTACAGTGTTTTGGTGATGGATTTGTTCCCAGTGATTTGTTAGTAGTTTGTTAGAGTGGTTTGATAGTAGTTTGTTAGTTTGATAGTAGTTTGTTAGAATGTAGTTTGTTTGATAGTAGTTTGTTAGAATGGTTTGATAGTAGTTTGTTAGAGTGGTTTGATAGTAGTTTGTTAGAGTGGTTTGATAGTAGTTTGTTAAGAGTGGTTTGATTGTAGTTTGTTAGAGTATAGTTTGTTAGCTCATTTGCATGTGATTTGCTATACTATTAAACTACTTTCAAACCATAGTAGTTTGTTAGTAATTTGTTATAGTAGTTTGTTTGCCCTTTTTTTCTGTATGGGTATTAATCAATATAAAGATTTAGGAAATATAATGCTTTGTGGAGATTTTAATGCTAGAACAGGAAATGCAACTGATTATATACTAGATGATAACAACCAATATTTACCCTTATTTGAAACATATAAAATTGATAATGATATTTTCAAAAGAGTTAATAGAGACACTTGTGTGGATAAGAGAGGAAAAGAACTAATAGATTTTTGTATTGGAAACCAACTTCGTATTATGAACGGAAGATGTTTTGGTGACATTTTTGGAAATTTCACTTGTCATAATTATCATGGAAGTAGTGTTGTTGATTATCTTTTAACTGATGAAGATATTGTACAACGTATTTTGTTTTTTGAAGTATCAGATTTTATTTCCACATTATCTGACTGCCACTGTATGTTATCATGGAATATTTTTTCTCAACATGATTCTTCTAATAGAGAAAATAGTATAGATAATAATAATTACAAGACCCATTCATCCTTTAAGTGGGGGGAAGACTCTGCTATTAAATTTATAGAGGCATTACAATCCCCCAAAATAAAATGCAATCTTGATAACACCATGAGCATCAATGACATAGAATCTATAGAATCGACAATAAGTAGATTAAAAGATTCCCTGGAAGCTGCAGCCATTATGTCATTAAAACCAAACTTACCTAAAAATAAAACTTGTAAAGGTAATAAAAGCTCTGCTA